TTTTGACAACTGTGACACTATAGTAGGTTTTGAGATCTAGGAGTATGAGACCTCCTACTTTGTTCTTCTTCAGTAGTGCTTTGCTTATCTGAGATCTTTTTCCATTCCATACAAAGTTAGTGATTAGTTTTTCTATGTCTTTAAAGAATGTTGATGGGATCTGGATTGGGACTGCATTGAATGTATAGATAGCTTTGGGTAGTACTGACATTTTCATAACATTCAATTTTCCTATCCATGAGCATGGTATGTTCCGCCATTTATGCAGATATCTTATAGTTTCTTGAAGTAGTGTTTTGTAGTTTTTTTTTGTATAGGTCTTTCATGTTCATGGCAAGATTTATTCCCAAGTATTTTATCTTTTTGGTAGCTATTGTAAATGGCTTTATATCAAGTTTTAATTCATCAGAAATTTAGCTTTGTGTGTGTGTGAGGTATGCCATTTGTGACATCATCATTCATTGAATAAACTGTCCTTCTTTGTCATACATCCAATTCCCATATATACTCCCACTCTGGGCTTTATTTCTAGATTGTCTATTCTGATAGAGAATCTCTACTGATTCATTTGTCTGCTCCTAAGAAAACACCATTCAGTCTTGAATAAGGGTGTGTTATGCTTTAATGACTGGAAACTGCAAGGCTTCACTATTTTAAAAAATAATTTCCTTAGACATTTGGCCTGCATATGACTTTAAATGCTTTTTTACATTAAAAGCAAAACAAAAAAGAAGCACATGACAAGAAGTTCAACATCACTAGCCAGTAAGAAAATGCTAACAATCCTGTGAGGGACCAGCATGTGCCTGGCATCATGGCAAAAATGAAAAGCAGTGATAACACTCAGTGTTTGCAAGGATATGAACAGGCATGTCCCACCTGCATTGCATGTGGGATGTTGAGTGCTGCAGCCATCTGGAAATAGTTTGGCAGTTTCTTACAAAACTAAGCATGCACTTATAGTACTCAACACTTAAACATTTATCCCAGAAAAAGGACAAATCAGGTTCACACAAAAACTTGTGCACAGATGTTTCTGGTAGCCTTATTCTTAACAGTAAAAAGCTGGGAAGAGACCAAATGTCCTTTAATGGGTGGATCACCAGACAAACTCGTACAACCACACAATGGAACAAAAAGTGGGCCAATATACATGGCTCAGGCACTGTGCTCATGAACAAGTCCTCCTTGAAGGGTTATGTGCCATATGACCCCACTTCTGTAGCATCCTTGAAATGACAGAATTACAAAAAAAATTTTTTTTTAAATGACAGACTTACAGAGACAGAGTGTGGCTGCCAGGGGACGAGGACAAGGGTGTGCGAGAACAAAGAGCCAGTGTGAGGCAGTCCCTTGTGGTCAAAGAAGGACAGTTACATATCTTGACTATTGGGGTAATTATACAGATCTTCAATGTGGCATAAAACTGTGCGTGCACACACACACATACACACACAAGTACATGTTAAAACTGAGTAAGGTGTGAAGTCTGGTCATTGATATGGCACCAATGTCAGTTTCCTGGGGGAACTGGGTGGAAAGATACACAGGATTCAATAATTTTACAACTTCCCATAAGTTTATAATTGTTCAATATAAAAACATTTTTGAAGAAGTAACAGTCTAGGCAATCTGGACCAACCTGAAGCTACAAAACAAACAAACTCGCTGCCTTTGAGTTGGATCCAACTCATTGTGACCTTCCTTGGGTTTGCGAGGCATTATCTCTACAGAAGTAGAATGCCCAGTCTTCCTTCTGAGGGTTTGAATCGCCAGCCTTCTGGTTAGCAGTCAAATGCCTTAGGTACTGCACCACCAGAGCTCCCATCCTGACACTGAGACATTTTTCTTTTTTTTTTTTTTTTTGCAAACAGCCCCACCTTTACTTCAGTCAGCACAACTGTGCTTTAATTTGTTTGAGATGTATGCATGAGAGTTTATTTGAAGAACATATTCTCCCATTTTAAATAAAAAACACTGCTCTTGTTGAGGCTGTTAGCGACATCCTAGAGTCCTGTGTGGTACAAGCAGTCAACCTGCTTAACCACCATCTGAAAGGTTAGAGGTTTGAGTCCATGCAGAGGCACCTGGGAAGAAAGGCCTACCTGTCTACTTTCAAGAAATCAGTCATTAAAAGCCCTACGAAAATCAGGCACTGTGGGACTCTGATCTCCACAGGGCTGCCGTCAGTGTCAGCGTGCTGGACGCCATCAACAAGTCCCCCATGTGTGGGTACCACCTGTGACTGACATCTGGTCAATGGAATATGGCCGAGAAGATGGGACAGTCACTCCCTTGATTAACTTATGTTAAATGGCAAAATAGCATAGTGCCTAAGGCACTTGACTGCTAACCAGAAGGCTGGCGGTTCAAACCCACCAGCCACTCCTCGGAAGGAAGGTTGGGCAATCCTACTTCCGTAGTGATACTGCCTCGGAAACCCAAGGAGGGGTCGCTATGAGTCGGGGCCGACTTGATGGCACATAACAACAACAACAACAAATGGCAAAAGGGACTGACAGTCACTCCCATGACCATCTCACATACACAAGATCCTGTCCCAGCCAGCTGAAGGAACAGGCTCTCTAGCTGGTCTCTTATTCGCCCCACCCTTCTGCCTGATTTTATTGTTTTAGAACTTTTTGTCATTTGGATGAAAGCTGACAGAGCAAATCAGTTTTCTGTTCAACAACTCACACACATTTAATTTCATGTCATTAACTGCCATCCCTCCAACAGAACATCACCCCTCCAATTCCCCTGTTTCTTGTTTCCATTCCTCCTTCTGTCCTAATCAACCCTTCCTGTTCTGAACTTTGTCCTTGGGCAAATGGTCCCCTTTTGATCTCAAATGGTATACTGTCCTTATTAAGGAGTGTGTACCTTCCTAGAGTTAGTGTTCACCTTGTGGACCTACTGTTGGACTAAAAACAGCCTCAGGTGGGTTCAGTTCCAGGTCCAAAGGGTGACCAAGGCCTACAATCTTGAGAATTCCATGGCACCATTTTTTATTTTAAGCTGGGTGAAATTATAAACAAATACCTGCTTAAAGTCTCAGGAGAAGTTTCATGAAAGTGAAAAATCTCCAGCAAAGATCTGGGAGAAGACTGGAAATGAGACGTGAACTGCCTCCCACTGGAGTGCCCGGTGATCTCAGAAGAGGTTCTTCCAATTCCAAGCCAGTCAGAGCGTCTAAAGACCCCCAACAAATAACAGAATCACTGCCATTGAGTTGTTTTCCAACTCCTAGCAACCCCTCCTTGGGTTTCCGAGGCGGTATCCCTACAGAAGTAGATTGTCCAGTCTTCCTTCCAAGGAGTAGCTGAGTGGATTTGAACCACCAGCCCTTAGTAGCCAAATGCCTTAGGCACTATGCCACCAGAGCACCCTAAAAAAGTAAAAGACTCATTGCCATCGAGTTGATTCCAACTCACAGCAACCCCTATGGGTTCCAAGCTATAAATCTTTACAGAAGCAGAAGCCTCATCTTTCTTCCATGGAGCAGCTGGTAGGTTTGAATCACTGACCTTTTGGTTAGGAGCTGAATGCCTGAACCACTACACTACCAGAGCTCCTTTGTCTAAAGACCGCTGAACAAAAACTGCAGTTCAGGGATGTTGAGGAAGGTTCTGAGTCCAAAGGGCCTCACCCTGGACGTAAGTGTAAAATGTTGCTTAGCTGATACCAGGCACTGAATCCCCTCAAACCCTAAAACCAGAGGAGGCACCCCAGATCACTCAAACCCTGAAACAGGAGGAGGTATCCCAGATCACTGAAACCCTAAAACTGGAGGAGGCACCCCAGATCACTCAAACCCTAAAACTGGAGGAGCACCCCAGGATCGCTCAAACCCTAAAACCAGAAGAGGGACCCCATATAGTTAGCATCCTTATCCACCAGGAAAAAACAGAAAGCCATTCTAAAGGACAGAACATTCCTAGGCCTCAAAGTACTTCTATAATTTTTCATACACGTTATCCAGAACTTTGGGAACATATCATAGAAGCTCTAGATAACAGTACAATTAGACATAGATTTTAAAATGTTCAAGGAGATGAAAGAAATGATTGAAAACTATAACAAAGACATGGAAACTATTTAAGTAAAAATTTTTATGCAAAGATAAAAACACTGCCATTAAGAAATGATGAATTTATTAGCAAATAAGACAGTTGAAGAAAGAATTAGTAATATGGAAGATAAGTCCAAGAAAATATCCAGATGGAAGCACAGAGACTGAAAGCATGAAAAGACAGAAAAGTGAGCAGGAGACATGAAAGATAAAGGGAGGTAGTCTGCCCTCCTGGTGACTGGAGCTCCTGAAGCAGAGGAGACGGTAAACAGGATAGGAGCAGTATTTGAAAAAATAATGGCTCACAATTTTTCCAAAACTGACAGAAAAAAAAAAATTAAATTACAGATTATGAAGCATTACAAATCTCAGAATCACAGCAAGATACATACAAAGAAAAATCATTCTAAGTGTATCATGGTAAAATCATGAATATCAAAAATAAAAAAAAAAAACTCTTAAAAGAAGACAGAGAAAATGAACAGATTACCTTCAATCAAGTAGTAAGTAGACTGGCAGATAACTTCTCAACAAAAAGGAAAAATCCTTAAGACAGCAGAATGTTATCTTTAAAGTGAAATAAATCAGTGAATAAATATGAACCTCAAGTTTTAGGCCTTGCAAAAATACCTTTTAAGAAGGAGTATGAAGAGGGCATTTTCAGGCAGACGGATCAGAGAATTTACCACCAGAAGACATTTACTATGGAAAATACTAAAGAATGAGCGATGGTGAGAGGATGAGGGGAGGTGAACGCTGGTGAGAGGACAAGGGGGAGGGAGTAAATGGTTTTATACACCAATAAAATTGCAAAGGAAAGTAATTTCATATGAAGGGAAAACAAACAAGAATGGGAAAAACCTGAGTACATCAAGCAGTCAACCAGGGCATCACTGCAGCTGCCAGCCACTCCAAGCAAAACCACCACCTGCAGAGACCACAGGGAGGCAGAGAGGCCGCCGGACCACAGGGTCTCCTGCTGCTGACCCAGGTCTGGAGGGAATGAGACGGGATGACAGCAGCGGAGGGTAGGGGCCTGGGGTGGAAGGGGCATTGCCTCGGGGAAAAACGTCCTCCCCTCACTTCCTCTCCCTCTTCTTTCTCCATGCCCTGCAGGTAGGAGGGACACACACGGGGGGACAGAGACTATCCTGCATCAGTCCCCCAACAGACCACAACCCACAACTACCGTTCATGGCAAAACACTCGAGAATCTGGGGTGTATGAGTGTGCCAAACGACCAAATAGCAGCTATCCACCACCACCACCCATTGCCGTGGAGTCCAGGCTGATCCACAGCGCCCCTAGAGGACAGAGTGGAACTGCCCCATAAGGTCTGCGAGGCTGTCAATCTTCACGGAAGCAGGCTGCCCCATCTTCCTCCTATGGAGCGGCTGGTGGATTCAAACCAGTGACCTTTCGGTTAACAGCCAAATGCCTTAACCACTGCACCACCAGGGCTCCTTAACAGCAGCCAGGCAGGTTTCATCTTGGACCAAACTAAGTACGTCTGTATCGCACAGTGGCTGCAGGTGAACAAGGTCGTGGGGAACAGCCACCTTGCCTTGGCCCTTACAGACTCTGAAGCAGGGCACTCCTGCTCCTACTCACCTGTCACGGTGGTAAACCCATGTGTCTCAAGGGCCTGGGTCATGGGAGAGAAGCAGCCACCACACACACTACTGGGGGAATGTGCGGGACTTCTCAAAGCAGGGCTCCCAGATGCTCATGCATTCCACCTGCCAGTCACTCCCCATCTGGAGAAAATAACTTTTTTTTCTTTAAGTTCATCAAAATTCTAATTGTAATGCAGGGCTGGCAACGCTTAAAGGAACAGTAATTAATCAGTCAGAGCACATCTAGGTCACTACATTCCCAATAAAAAGTCCAAGACGCTGATCTAATTGGCATGGAAAGTGATCAGCAATACACTGAGTAGGGAATAAAAGGGAGCTCTGGTGGTGTAGTGCCTAAGGCATCTGACTGCTAACCAGAAGGCTGGCAGTTTAAACCCACCAGCCACTCCTGGGAAGGAAGACTGGGCAATCTACTTCTGTAGTGATACCACCTCGGAAACCCAAGGAGGGGTCGCTATGAGTTGGATCCGACTCCACAGCAGTGAGTTTGGTTTGGTTTGGAGAGAATACCAAACAGTATATACAGCCTGACCCCGATTTCACAAACAAGAATGGATAAGAAAAGCCGGCACGAAGGAACCACCAAGCCTCAGAGTGGTCCTCACACTGCAGGACTGGGAGCCATTTTTCTTTCCCTCTTTGTGGTAGCAGTGGTCTCTCTGGGAGGCCAAAGGTCAAACAACACAGTCCTGTGAGTTGGCCGGGGCCAACCACCTGCCCTCCCCAACCTGCAGCCTGGAGGAAGCTCACGACCATGGCACCGGCCCCCAGCCAGGAGCCGCTCACAACCATGGCACCGCCCCCCCAGCCAGCAGGAAGCTCACGACCATGGCAGTGGTCCCCCAACCCACAGGAAGCTCATGACCATGGCACCAGCCCCCCAGCCAGGAGCCACCCTGCAGTCCACACTGAGGCCTCTGTAGACTGTGAGCATATCCATGTTCAAAAGCTGCAGCTGTAGAACTCTGCTGCCCTGTGCGTCCACTCACAGAAACCAGCTCCATTTGTCAGATACGTAAGGACCCTCGGCTGGCCCCAATGAATCCGGCCAGCACTTCTCCACAAGGACGTCCCTGCAGAGGTCAGCGAGGCACCTCAGGTCAGAGAGGAGCAAGCGCACTCCTGCGTATCTGGAACATCTGCCCATCCAACTCCATGAAGACCCTGTGGGCATCAGGTACCCCACCCAGACCAGCACCCACTGTGGCCCATGGTACCCCAACCCCTGGGCAAGGGGCTCCCCGAGGAGCCATACTCCCCTCGCCTGCCCCTTGCTCACCTGCCCCCCACTTGTGGCCAGGGCACAGGAAAGACACTTGATAAAAGCCACCAGTTACTACTGAGTCGAGCCCAGCTCACACGACCCCACACGGGTATGGATGAACTCTGCTCCCAGGGTCTCCAGCTGCTGAAGTTCCCAGGTGCAGCACTGGGCCTTTCTTCCAAGGTGTCTCTGGGTGAGTCTGCGCCTCCACGCTTTCAGCCAGTCAAGCACTTACCCATCTGCACCATTCAGGGACCTGTGGGTGTCTGATGGAAACCAGAACCACAAACACACTGCCACCAAGTTGATTCTGACGCACGGGAACCACATCTGTTACACAGAACTGCTCCGACAGGGTTGTCATGGATAAAATCTTTACGGGAAGGCCCTAGATGGTGCCAACAGTTTGTACTCAACTAACCTAAAGGTTGATGGTTCAAACCCACCCAGTGGTGCTATGGAAAACTACAGCCAGGAAAACGCCAGGAAGCAGTTCTGCTCTGTGATGGTACTTTGTAACAGTGAGTCAGAATTGACTCAGTGTCAACAACAGTCCTCAGGGAACCGGATCACAGGACTTTCTTCCACAGTGCTACTGGGTGGGTTCAAACTGCCGACCTTTCAGTCACCAGTTGCACACAACCTGTTTGCACCACCCAGGGGCCCTGGACATCTGATGAACGGTACCAAACCGCTGAGTGTGTGCAGGTCTTCAAGAAGGTGAGCTGGGCCAGCTTTAGAATTGTAGAAATGTGTTGCATTAACCTCAGGGCTGGCTGCTAAGGCCTGCGTGTAACGAAGAGTCAGTCCCTGCTCCAAGCTACGCTTTACTTAACTGCTGTGAAGAGAGCACAGAGCACCAGACACCTCAGCTTCATTCTGCAGCCCGCCTCCTGACCACCCGCCAGCACGCCCGCCACGTGGCCACAACAGCAGGTCAGAGCACCCGGGAGTGAAGAGTCAGAGCCAGGCAACAGAGAAACACTGGGACAGGAGCCCCACAGTGGGGCCGGCTGCTTGAGGTCAATACACTCAATGAGGCCTACACTCAGCAGCAACTTTGGAGAAAATCACCAGATTTGTTCTGAAAGGACATGTTCCCAGGAAGCTTTACAGAACCAAAACACGAAGTAACTGCCTCAGCTTTCCAGTCCCCTCCCTTAATGGTTAGAATAAAGGGTTTAATCTCATAATTAGCCACCTTCGTCTGCCAGACCTACCTGCTTGTCTCATGAGTTCTCCTCCCAGACCCCTGAAAAATTAACAAAAACATTCAGGGTTAGATGTCTCACCATATGAAACAAACAGCCTCACAGGTAACCTTAACCTCCACTCCAAACACTGCTAAAATGCCGATTAACTGATTCTGTTACTGAAAGTAGGAGCCGCTTTCATGAAAAGAAATGAAACGGATCACTGTCCTGATCATTCTTGTTCGTAACTGGGACTACCCCAATTCCCAATCTGTACCAGGCACAGCCGCCTCACAGCACTGACCAGGTCACACCATCACACAAGACTGACTGTTCAACTTAGGCTTGTTTTCAAGACCAAGCTAATCCAGGCACCAGAAAGATGCCACCGTATGGGCCACATGCAGAGCCACAGGGGAGCGTCTGCCTCTGCTCTGCTACCTGCTCATCTATGGGCTGAGGGTGGGAGCTGGGACAAGAGGGCCACAGCTGCTAAGAAGAAAAACAAAACACCTGCCTGGGACACCCAGACACTGGAGAGAACACCGAGGTGAGGGTCTGCAGCCCCTGGACAGCAGAGTACAGGCTGAGGCCTCAAGAGAAGGACCCACAGGGCTGCCTAGAGTATGTCCAGGCCGTCTAGGGAGGGACATTCAAGCCAGCTGGGATGTCCCCAACAAGACCCCGAATGGAGAAGGCTAGGGGAACCTGGGGGCAGCACTGAGGCTTTCAGTGAAGCTGGGAAGGGGTGTATGATTAAACCACGCAGGAGTGAAAGAGGGCAGTGAGTCCCCTACCCCACATGAAGTCACACTAGCAGCCACGGAGTCAGTGGCAAGGCCAGCCACAGAATGGAAGCAGGCATGGCAGATCACATGTCTGGCCAAGGTCCAACCACAAGAAGACAGAAGGTCCAGTGTTTCCAAGCAGGCAGGACGCCTCAGCAAAGAAGACAAGGAATGGCCAGTCAGCTCAAGACAAGACGCCCAGCACCACGGTCGCAATAACAGTGAGGTAGCTGTCCACACCCACAGGCTGCAGGGCTGACACCACAAGTGCTGAGCACAAGTTGGTCCAGGAACGCTCACCACCACCGGCGAGTATGAAAAAAGCATGGCAACCAAGCATAGGTTGGTTGCAACTTGGGAAACATTGCTCCCATCACTCCTGGGTTACTCTGCAACCCAGCAACTCCACTGCAAGGCATTTAACAAGGAAAATGAAAACGTACACCCACACATACTCACCAACACTCATAGCAAAATGGATCTAAAAGCTTCTCAACTGGGGAGCAGAAAAACACCGAGGTCCATGCACCCTATGGCACGCTACACAGCAACACACACTACGCACACTGTACCACAATGCATGCCATGCACGATGTACAGGAACGCACGCCACACGATATATATGCACACCATACTGCAACACACACCATGCATGCTATATACGCACACCGTATAGCAATGCATGCCATGCATGCTGTACAGCAATGCACACCATGCATGATGTACAGCAACACACACCATGCATGACGTACAGCCACACATGCCACACATGACGTACAGCAACGCACACCACACACGATGTACAGCAAACCACGCCACACATGCTGTACAGCAATGCACACCACACACGATGTACAGCCGCGCATGCCACGTACGATGCAGAGCCACACACACCATGCACGGTGTTCAGCAATAAAACACAGTATGAACACACATAGGCAACAACACGATGAACCTCAGAAACCTAACCCTATGCAAAATAAACCAAATACAAAGGACTCCTTATTGTAGGTTCACGGACTACCCGGAATAGGCAAATCTGTGGAGACAGCAGGTCAGAGGCTCCCATGGCTGGGGTCTGGGCAGGGATCATTGCAAAAGGGCAAAGGGAGAGTCTAGGGTGATAGCGACACTCCTGTATGTGGTTATGGTGGAGGCCACACAGTGAACAGATCCCAGAACACAATAAATCTTAAAGCACCAACTCGGTTAGACCTTTCCCATCTTCTGAGAATGGAACAAAGTGACTACGGTGCCTAGTAAGACGACACAGGATGGACAACAGTTGGCATGGATCAAAGGTGAGCACTTCACATAGCTACTCGCAAGGACTAACACACCTGTCCACCTTTCACTCAGTAAGACACAAAATACAAGGACTTCAGTTTTTAAAGCTTACCTGTATAACTGATGATCATAAAGCTGAAAAATAAACAACTGACAATCAGTTATTTGAATAGCTTTTACTTTTTTAAATAACACAATCTGCCCTAACGTTAGGAAGTACCAAACGAGCGTATGAGTACCAGGCCAGCATGGATGGTGACCAGAATCATGGTCAGCAGGGAGATGCCAGTCACAGTGACAAGGCGCCTCTGCACACTCACAGGATGCTCAGTCGGCCTTGGGTTAAACCGACACTACTAAGCACTGAACACATGTGAAGCAAGGAATGCTCACCACCACCAAAGGGCCTGGGACAGACCTGCCTAGGCCAACAGTGAGGGCTGCGTATGTCACCCCATGACTATGGGTGACCATCATGACAGTGCTGGATGGGACTAATAGGCAGAGCATCACATGTCCCTCACACAGAGTGAACGTGAGGTTTAAGAGAGGCAGGAAGGGTCACACAACCAGTGAGATGAGCTGGATGGGACCTGCCATCTGACCAGGGGCTAATTCCTACCTATCCCCTACCTGGCAGCTTGGTTAGAACATTAATGCAGCCATCAGGGACAGTGGTCATACTTTTTCTTCAGAAGTATTTGAAGTACTTCATGACACTATCATTACCATAACATACCAAAGTGTACAGAGCATTTACCTCCACTGTTTAAGTCAAACATCAGCTCTATAAAGGATGTGATGGTTCACATGGCAACTTGGCTCAGCTTTGAGTCTCACTGGTTTGAACAGATGGGTGATGTGATGTAGCAATGACAGGATGGTGTGGTGGCATGTTGGGGTGGTGTGATGGGATGATGGCACAGTGGGATGGAATGGTGGGATGCCGTGGTGCTTGGTTGGCATGGTAGGGTGTGGTAGTGGGATGGTGTGGTGGTAGGATAGAGTGGTGAAATGGTGTGGTGGTGGGTTGGTGTGGGGTGGGGTGGTGGGTTGGCATGGTGGGGTGACATGGTGGTGGGTTGGCATAGTGGTGGCATGGCGTGATGGTGAGATGACATGGGGGCAGGTCGGCACAGTGGCGGGTTAGCATGGTGGTGGGATGGTGGTGAGGCAGGATGGCATGGTGGCAGGATGGCTTGGTGGCAGGATGGCTTGGTGGGGTGGTTTATTGTGGTGGTGGGGTGACATGGTGGTGTGTTGGCACATGGTGATGAGTTGGCGTGTGGTGGTGGGACAGCGTAGTGGTAGGTTGGCACATGGTGGTGGGATGGTGTGATGGGTTGGCATGTGGTGGTGAGTTGGCACATGGTGGTGGGTGGTGTGGTGGTAGGTTGGCACATGGTGGTGAGTTGGCACATAGTGGTGGGATGGTGTGCTGGTGGGCTGGCATGTGGTGGTGAGTTGGCATGTGGTGATGGGATGGTGTGGTGGGACAATGATGATGGCATAGTGGGAGAGTGGGATGGGATGATGAGATGATGGGATGGTGATGCGATAGGGGCTGATGTGTAATCACCTTCCATGCCATGATCTAATGTAATCAATCATTAAGTGAAAGGGGATTATCCCTGGGATGTGGCCTGCCTTCATAATATAAAAGGATATTCTGACAGGGCTTGCTCTCTCTCAACCCTGAATTCTTCTTGTCCACTGACCTGTGGACCCTTGTCAGCTGACTTATGGACCTTGGGACATAAGCCTACAGAAGTCCCCATCCTGCTGCCTCACCTACAGATTTGGGACTTGCCAGTCCCTACAACTGCATGAGCCACTTCCTTGAGGTAAATCTCAAGGTTTTTTGCTCCTCTGGAGAACCCAACTAAGACATGTGGGTATTGAGAACGGTTCTAGAGGAAGAAATCTCACCACCACTGAGTAACCTTAATCAAACACTTGTGACAGACACGACACTGGGTGGCAGTGGATTTGAGACCTTCAGACATTTCTGTCAAACTAGAGAGTATAAGGTGCTGGCTGCTCCCACTGTTGCTACATAAAGGAAGCAGAGAAAGAAAAAGGACAAGCTCAGGGCTTCAAAGTCCCAGCTCGAGCGCCACATAAAAGAACCCGCAAGTTGCTGTAAGTTGCTAAGGAAGGCTTATCTCCTGTAATGACAAGGCTGAGAGGGCTAAAAACCAACCCAGAATGGCTGGATTACACCACCAGCTGGACCTGGTGCATACAAACCTGCTGGTGAATCTGCTTCAGCCCCTGCAGGGCCCTTTCATCCAGGTAGTCTGTGACAGGCCTGCAGAATTCCAAATGACAAGACAATACATGAGTCTGTGTGTGCACAAATACCTCACACGAAGATGACTGCTCCCATCAGACCCTCCTAGCTCTGTACATCCTGAGACTGCATTTCCCATTTCTGACTGCAGATTAGGGCAGTGTCAGGGGGCAGGGGGCTGGGGACTTCAGGACGTTCTCTGGACAGCTCCTGCTCATACAGCCCATTTGCGACACCAGGGTCACAGTCTTGCAAGGATTATCAAGAGCCAGCACCTTGTCAAAGGCAATGCAAGGCTCGGCCTCACAGAAAAGACAACTCCCCATGAGCTGAGATGTGTACAGCAGGGACCCAGCAGCCCACTCCTGCGACATCTGGCTCCCTGTATACCATGTCTTCAGTGTTCAGCCATGTGGGAACACGCATCAGTGCCTTGTTCTTCTTCATGGCTGCGTGACAGTCCGTTGTATGGATACACCAAGGAGCCCAGGTGGCACAATAGTTGAGTACTTGGCTGCTAATTAAAAAGGTTGGTGGTTCAAACCCACTTAACAGCTCCATGAGACAAAAGACCTGGGGATCTGCTCCCATGAAGTTTATAGCCTAGAAAACTCTGTATGGCAATTCCACTTTGTTACACGGGTAACTGCGAGGCAGAATGGGCTCAACGGCACCCAATGACAGCAACACAGATGGGGCACATTTTGTTTATCCATTCACCACCTGATGGCACAGAGTTGGTCCCCTCTTTGGCTGTTGCGAACACTGGCTACTATGAACAGTGATGTACAAGTTTTGTGTGGATATATGTTTTTGGTTCTTCTGGTTGTATACCTAGAAGTGGGATTTTGCTGGAGCATATGGTACTTCTATGTTCCATATTTTGAGGAACTACCAGACTCTTTTCCACAGCAGCTATACCATTTTACATTCCCACCAGCAGTGCACGAGAGTTTCAGTTTTTCCACATCCCTGTCAACACTTGCTATTTTCTATTTTCATTTTTTTGGTAATAGCTGCTATAGTGTGAAGTGGTATCTCATTATGGTTTTGATTTGCATTTCCTTAATGACAATGAGTATCTTTTCACGTTTGTTGGCCATTTATATGTTTTCTTTGGAGACATGTTTATTCAAAATCTTTTGTCTTATTTTTAAATTGGATGGTCTTTTTGTTGTTGAATTTTAGGTGTGCTTTATATATGTGTGTGTATATGTATATATACATACATATATACATATATACATACATATACAAAGGAGCTCTGGTGGCGTAGTGCGTAAGACATTTGACTGCTAACCAGAAGGCTGACGATTCAAACCCACCAGCCACTCCTCAGAACGAAGGTTGGGCAATCTACTTCTGTACCAATATAACCTTGGAAACCCAAGGAAGAGTCGCTAGGAGTCGGATCCAACTCAACAGCAGTCCATTTGGTTTGGTTTATATATTTATATATTATCAGATACATGACTTGTAAATATTTTCTCACATTCTTTAGGATGTCTTTTAACTCTCTTGATAGTGTTCTTTGATGCAAAAAAGTTTTTAATTTTTATTAAATTCATCTTACCTATTTTTTTCTTTTCTTTCCTATGCTTTTGATGTCAAATCTAAGCAGCCATTGCCAAATCACAAAGGATTACCATTATGTTTTCTTCTAAAAGTTTCCGTTTTAGCTCTTATGTCTATATTATTGATCCATTTTGAGTCAGTATTTGTATATCATGTGAGGTAGAAGTCCAACTTCAGTCTTTTGCATGTGGTTGTCCATTTGTTGGAGAGACTATTATTTCCCCAAAATGATGCTGGCACTCTTGTCAAAAAGAAATTGAACACAGATGTATGTGTTTATTTCTAGACTCCCAATTCTATTCCACTGATCTAGATGACTATTCTTACACCAGTACCACACTGTTTTGATTACTGTAGCTTTGTGCTAAGTTTGGAAATCAGTAAGTTTGAGTCTTCCAACTTTATCATCCTTTTTCAAGATTGGCTTGGCTATCTGGGATCTCTTGCACCTACCCGTGAATTTTAGAATTAAGCTTTCCAGTTTCCGCCCAAAAGGCTACTGGGACTTTTACAGAGATTGCAGTGAAACTGTAAATCACTGGGGTGTACTGCCATTTTAATGTGAAGTCATCTAATCCATGAACACACAATGCCTCTCCACTTACTTAGTTCTTTGTTTTAGCAATGTTTTGTAGATTTCAGTCTTCAAAGTTTGCACCTGCATGGTTAAGTTTATTCTTAAGTATTGTATTCTTGATGCTATGGTAAATAAGACTGTTTTCTGAATTTCCTTTTCAGAATGTTCATTGCCAGTATATAGATACAGAACTGATTTTTGTATGTTGATCCTGTATCTTGCAACTTTGGTCCATTTATCAACTTTATTTTTTTTTGTAGATTCTTTAGGGTTTCTCATATATAAGATTGTGACACCTGGAAATAGAGGCCCCACAGTGTAAAGGTCTTCACTGGTGAGATGAGAAGATGGTGTCTTTCCTGTGGCCCACATGCTAGTTTTCCCTCTAGCATCTTAGTGCTTGAAAAACTAGGTGCAGCATCTTGAAGCAGGGATTCTGGCGCTCTGAGCGGCTCACTGAGTCAGAGAACGCCAAACTCAGGGGAGTAGGAGTAGAAAAAAAGGAGAGGCAGTGTAACCAACCAGAAAGAATGAAAAACAGGGGAACCTGTCCTACAGAGCGCGGACCAGCTGGCGAGACAGGGCACGGAGGGCTCCCTGGGGCAGTGGAGAGAATGCACCAGGACCTGTGGCCACTCCACAGATCCACTTTCAGCACGTGCTTTTATCAGTAAACTTGGGACCACAGGGAGGGAGCAGAGAGGGAAGCTGGCCCCAAGTGGGTGGTCCCTGGGACAATCTCGCAGCGTGGGTAAGGACAGCTTTTTGGCACAGAGGGGCCTAGACTACGGGGTTTTTGCGGCTGTCTGAATCTGGCAGAAAGTGGCAGCCCCCTAACCATAGGGGTCTTTGCCAAACTTAAGCTGGGGGCCTGTGATTAACATAATAATGTCATCATTAGCAGCCTACTCAAAGCCCTGGGAACAGCTACTGGCACCTTGGAGCTTTTTTTCCTTCCCCCTCTTTCCTTCCTCCTTTCCCCACCTCTCCCCTGCCTCATCCAACAGAAAAACATTAAGTCACCACAACACCTACCAGCTCGAATCCTAAACCCCCTTCACTACGAACAGAGACTTGCATCCACATTCCACACAGTGAGTCTATCATCACAAAGAAAACTGCAGATCAGCCCAACATACCTGAATTAATAACCGAAAAAAATAAAATACACCAGCTCTACTTTCCAAAAATATTAAATCATAAAGTCAAGACAAAACAAATCAATACATAACTAACAGTTAAAGACAAATTCAAAATGTCTAGGAAACAACAGGCAACCTCAAATCAAACAAAAAAAACAGGTTAAGACAATAGAAATAAAATTCCAAACAAAAGTCTCATTAAACATGGAGGAAAAGGAGGCAATAAAATTATCTGAGAAGGAATTTAGAAGGTATGTTTATAGAACTCTACAAAAGCTCAAGGAAACGCCAAACAGAATCAAAGAGAACACAGACAGTACCCTGGAAGAACTCAAGAAAACTATTCAAGAACAAAGTAACAAGATTAATACACAATCATACAAAACAGCAGTTAGAAATCTAGAAGATGAATACCAAAATTACAGAATTACACAACACAGTGGAAGCACAAAAGAATAGGCTAGCACAGTAGTCAAAACAGCATGGTATTGGTATAATGACAGATAGACCAATGGAACAGAACTGAAAACCTAGAAATAGACCCATCCATCTATGGACAGCTGATCTTTGACAAAGGTCCAAAACCCATTAAATGGAGAAGAGATAGCCTCTTTAACAAATGGTGTTGGTAAAACTGGATATCTACTTGCAGAAAAATCAAACAAGATCCATACCTCACCCCATACACAAAAACAAACTCAAGTTGGATCAAAGACTTAAATGTAAAACCCAAAAGTATAAAATTCATCAAAGATAAAAGAGGGGCAAATCTAGGGGCCCTGATTTACGGCATAAATCGACCATCAAACACAACCCAGAATGCACAGAAGGTGGAAGAGAAGCCAGATGAGTGAACCTTTTAAAAATTAAATTCTCATGGGCATCGAAAGACTTCACCAAAAGGGTAAAAAGAGAACCTACATATTGGGCGAAAATATATCTGACAAAGGGCTTATCTCCAAAATCTATAGGAAAATTTAATACCTCAACACTAAAAAGACAAACAACCCAATTCAAAAATGGGCAAGAGACATGAACAGACACTTCACTAAAGACAATATGCTGGCGGCCAACAAACACATGAGGAATTGCTCACAATCTTTAGTCTTTAGAGAGAAGCAAATTGAAACAATGATGAGATATCATATCACCCCAGCAATAATAGCAAAGTTCAACAGGACAGAAAATAACAAATGCTGGCAAGGTTGTGGAGAGACTGGAACTCTTATACACTGCTGGTGGGATTGTAAAATGGTACAACCATTGTGGCAAACAGTATGGCATTTCCTTAAAAAAATTCAAACTAGAAATATCATTTGACCCAGCAATTCCATTTCGAGAAACATATCCTGAAGAAGTGAGAGGCAGGACATGAACAAACATATGCACACCTATGTTCACTGTGGGAAGGTGAGCCCCTCAGGTCTGAAGGCACTCAAAATATGACTGGAGAAGAGCTGCCTCCTCAGATTAGAGGCAAATTTAATGATGTGCATAGAGGAAAGCTTTCAGGAACCCCACTTGCTGATGTGGCACATCTCAAGATGAGAAGAAAGAGCTGCAAACATCCATTAATAATCAGAACATGGGGAGTTCCGGCAAGATGGCGGACTAGGCAGAAGGACTGCACAGACCCTCTTCAACAAAGACAAGGGAAACCAATTGACACAGACACAGAAGATAATCTTGGACCCCTAAGCCTTGAAGGGAAGGATACAGAAGTA